CCGCGTCGCTGGTTGGAGGTCCACCGTTTTTCGTCGACGACAGTACAGAACAGACAAAAGTGACGACGGTATAGAGGCAGAGGCGTGGATATCGCCAAAATGAACTTCTTCAGAATTAAGTATGGGGCAGTACAGACGACGGTACAAACGACAATACACAAATATCGAAGCGCAGACACGCGATGGCTCGATTCTGTCGTTTATACCACAGATGAATTTATCGCGCGTTTGTACGCTATTTAAAGAAATCGTGCGCTATTTTGAGGGGGTTCTTCGTGATAGAAAGGCGCATGCATGCGGACAAAGAATATACTGTGGATATAAATAATTACATTTAAAATCTCGGTGTCCCCAAGATTTCATCCCTGTGTTCGCTGAAATATTCTTGAAATCGGTGTCCTTAAATATGCGAATTGTCATAAAATCGATGCAGTACAAGTACAGCGCAAGCGGTACAGTACAGTACAACGACGGTAATTCCCCTAAACCTCCGGGCTGTACTGTACTGTCGCGTGACTGCCACGTCGGCGTAAATTCCCCCAAAAACGACAATACAATACAGAAAAATGACAGGACAGTACAGCGGAGGTTTCCTCGGTGCAACCCGGGGTTACAGTACTCGTTCTTCGTTGACCCATCCCAATCCGCAATTGCATCGTAAAATTCTTCAGCTACAGTACGCAATTTCTTCAACGTTCCTCCGCCTCATGGGGCGAACGGTGCTGTGACTGCTGTGATACACGCAGGGATTTCCAAAGTGCTCGGCTACTTTTATTTTTCAGTTCGCTTATCATAATGTGTAAACTTATGATACTATGTCTGCGCAGGTCATGTCGCAGGTATCCGATGGCGAGGAGGGACGCGCGCTCTTGAGATGTGGAAGTCGAGGTTGGCGAATGCCAACCTTGCTTGGGATGAAACCCAACCATATCGAACGTATCGTATTAAGATATACATATTTCACGTTTGCATCCTTGGCATCTATGCAAAGTATGAGGAGCATTGAGTGAGCATAAGTCCTAGGCTGTTTTGGTTTTTGGTTCATGGCGCATTCGCGACCTCTTGGGGTGTGGAAGTCGAGGTTGGTTTAAACCAACCTTGCTTGGGATGAAGCCCAACCACATCGGATTATCTTATCGCACCTATCTTAGTTAAGTAATATATATTACAAGTTTGAAGGTCTTTCGAGAACGTTAAGGCGATGGCTGATTTTGTTTTTTGGGGTCGTAATACATCATGGAGAACAAAATCAGCCTACGAACTTGTCCTAACCGTTTGAGGCTCAAACCGTACAGGTTCATTGAGAAAAATGTACCGATGAGATAAGTTCGATGTGGTTGGGTTTCATCCCAAGCAAGGTTGGTTTAGACCAACCTCGACTTCCACACCCCAAGAGGTCACGAATGCGCCATGAACCCAAAACCAAAACAACCCGAGACTTATGTCCACTCAATGCTCCTCATACTTTGCATACATGCCAAGGATGCAAACGTGAAATATATACGATAAGTTCGATATGGTTGGGTTTCATCCCTAGCAAGGTTGGCATTCGCCAACCTCGACTTCCACATCTCAAGAGCGCGCGTCCCTCCTCGCCATCGGATACCTGCGACAAGACATGCGCACACATAGTATCGTAAGTTTACACATTATGATAAGCGAACTGAAAAATAAAAGTAGCCGAGCACTTTGGAAATTCCTGCGTGTATCACAACAGTCACAACACCGTTCGCCCCATGAGGCGGAGGAACGTTGAAGAAAATGCGTATTGTAGCTGAAGAATTTTACGATGCAATTGCGGATTGGGATGGGTCAACGAAGAACGAGTAGAGCTAACAGTAACGAGTAAGCAGTCACGCAACGGCATCGGCAGCGGCAATGGTGTCCGCGATGTCGATGTGACATGTGTTCACCGTCTGCTGCCGGCGACGTTCATTGCGGTCACTGTGTCGCTGTGTCTCACGCGATAGACGCAGTCGTGACATGCAGTCATCATGTGTCATCGGAAGTTGGACAAGTTCCCAGCGCCCGTACCCTAGGGGTGCCCAACTAAATTTGAGCCGTCCAAGGTTTTTAGATTGGGAACATCGGAAGGTCCGAAGAGATTCCTGGGGAGCGACAAAGGAATGCATCGTATTTTGATCTCTGGGATCGTACATGGACTGTCGGATTCGGAAAATGGCCACTGTTAAAAATAAACGGACCAGTTTAAGTTGTGCAGCTCTACCGTACCCTGTCCCATTTTTATAGGACGGGTACTTGTAACCCCAAACCCGTTATCCCCCTAACTAACCTAAGCCTTCCAAATTTGCAACTCGCATGAAACCAGAAAGAGAAACCCGGCGGTGAGCATGTTTTGGACACGACAATAGGCTTGAACAAGAAACTTGAAAATTAAGAAAGAGAATCATGACTGAATAACCTGCATCGACACCTAGTCATACTCTCAGCGAAGGGCACAGCACCTTGAACAAGGCTTATAATACCGCCTATCAAATTCGTGTGCAGGATCTGCAAAAATGATCCCCAATTCATACGACACCGAGTTCAACATGTTTTGGACAGGAGCAGTGGACAGCGAGCAGAGGTGGGTTTCCTTCGAGCTACTGAAACACAATAAGCAAGCTTTGGCCAAAGTTACGAGTTTAGCCCGGACAAATGAGCTGAACCCTACCCTAAGAACTCGAAGTACCATTATATGGTGTCCCTAAATTTCTGTCGCTCACCCTACTGTCGCAAAAGTTGTTCACACGCGCTGCTTACTCTGTTCGTTGGCTCTGATTCCGTATCCAGCTTTGCCCATACGTGGGTTCAACTCGTGTCTCGTGCGCGTGCGCTCATTGTATCTCACATAAACCTGAGGTGACTGAAATGCACGCTTTGCGTGTGCATTCTATTGTTTCAAACGGCACACTTTTTTAAACAAGACTGTGAGTTGGTGAGATGTGGTTATGACCATTGAAACAAACTGTTTGGCTCTTGATAGGCATAGCCGACGTCTTGAAAGCACAGGTTCAGAATAGTTTATGTTTCTTTAGTTTTGTTGCCTTTCCAGAAATCCAGAATAGTTTATGTGTATTCAGTTTTATTTTCTTTTTGTGTTGCAGAGCTTTAAAAAAATGGCAGAGTCAATATGGTGATAGACTTGAAGAAGTGGGGGCTCTACGCGTAAGCCCCGCAACTCCTTTCTTGGTCTTTGGGTCAGGATTCAAACCATAACATCCGCATGCCCTTGTTTTTAAGATTCGTTTTCATCGGAATATTCTATTAACAAATTCCAGTCGTGTTGGCGTTTGGCGTTTTTGTGTAATTTGACAGTGTCCAGCCATATGGAACGGCGTGCATACCGAAGCATACGATGTAAAAACGCGGCAACTTATTAAAGCTACTGACCTAGGTTTGCAGGGCTCCTCCCTTTCGCTGCCTCTTCCCTCATAGAAACTGTTCCAGATCTGTTTTCTTATGCCGACGCATGTTTGTACCCGGG